AGCGGTGATGGTATGTCAGTCTATGTATAAGGCATATTATATACATATCTATGGTATTAAACAAAAAATTGACCTATAATAGGTACCTATAATAAATTCCAAATTAATCATATCACAATATCCATTAGATACTTATAACGCGTTATACATCAACAAAAACCGTGATACTATCATAGATATATAATAGTACACTTTAGAAGTTTCAAGTACCCACGAATAATATTATTCAATCACAACAAAATAACTAAAATAGTTATTCTAGGTTTTTTAATATGTAATTTCGTTCAAATTTGAAATTAAAATGTCTGTAAAAAATAAGTGTGTTTATATATTTTTTAGATTTTTTGGTTACAGTATGAATTATTTAAGGGAATCTTTGTTTTAAATTTTCAACTCTTAGTTATAAAAACTGAACATTTTATAATTTTTTAATTCCAACGATTGATTATTTTCGAGATTTTGATAAATTTTGTCAAAATTCCAACTTTAAATGCTTATAAAAAAAATCGTGCTTATGTATTTTTAAAATTTTTCAACTGATATTGTAACAATATATAAGAAAGCTTGTATTCAGTTTTCAGACTTTTTGGCCCACCAAATAAAATTTTATTGACAATTATAAAAAAAAAACTAAAAAAATTGAAAACTGGAAATGTCCCTAAACAGCTCAAAAAGAGTCAAAATATTTTCAAAATTGTATGGTGTATAGAAAATGCTAATTTAAACATTCAGTGAAATTTTCATGTATCTACAGTTGTTCGATTTTGAATTACAACAAAATAAGGAAATCGCTACATGAGAAATCGAGTGAATATCCAATGTTGTAAAAATTTTAATTTCAAACGCTCATAAAAATTTAACTTGACTGTCCGGTAGAGATTTTTTTATTGATAAAGGTAGATAATCTTATAAGGAATCTTGTGTTTCATTTTCAAATCTTAGATTTAAAAATAAAAATTTTTACGAATTCTTAACTCAAAATAATTTGCTAATTTTCGTGATTTTTCCATATTTTGTCAATTTTTGAACTTTAAGTGCTTATAAAAAAAAATTGTGACTAAGGATTTTTAATATTTTTCATCTGCCTTTGAAACAACATATTAGGAGCCTTCTATTAAATTTTCAAGCTTTCGCAACCAACAAATAACATTTTATTGATATTTCTAGAAAAAAAACTAAAAAAAAATGAAAAATGAAAATGTCCCTAAACAGTTCAAAATAAATCAAAATATTTTGAAAATGTTATCGTGTATAGAAAATGCAAATATAAACAACCAGTGAAAATTTCATGTATATACGTTCATTTGTTTTAGAGTTACACCAAAAACCAAAATCGATTTTTTGGAAAACCAATTTTGCGTAAAAATTCCCGTTTTTCCTTAATTTTTATGTTGTTTTTCCCGGCGCTTGTGAAAACTACTGGGAAATTTATACTTTTGACCCCCCAAAGTACCAACTAGATTCACTTTCCTATCAGAAAAGCTACTGATGAAGAAAATCCAAGCACTTTTACTGTCCTAAAACGTGATGACAGACACAAAAATAAAAAAAAAATAAAAAAAAAAATAAAAAAAAAAACACACATCATTGTAAAATCAATACATTCATCGTTTCACTCAGAATCTAAAACATACATCATTGTAAAACCAATACATTCATCACTCCGCTCAGAATCTAAAAAAAAATAAATAAAAAAAAAAAAAAAACACACATCATTGTAAAATTAATACATTCATCGTTTCATTCAGAATCTAAAATAAAAATATTTCCATTAATTTAGTACAATTTTTAAAATGATTCCCGTCCCCAGCGTCCCATTAAAAGAAATTAGAAGGGGTACGCTAAAATATTTTTAAAATAGAAGTGGGACTCCGTCCCCCCGCGTCCCCCCCAATTCAACCACTGCACGTCTGCACTACACACTGATGGAATAAAAGTAGGCAAAGTTTAAAAATATTATAATAAACATACCTAATATTATTATTTTGTTTATATTCCTAGTAATTACTAAAAACAAAAGCTGTATGGAGCTTAATCATTTAAAATAAAATAAAATAAGCCACTATTAAGTTGGGCATACAGTATTTGGACCAAAATTGTATCCTTCCCTTTTGAGCCGATTCAGCTTTCTGCCAAGTTTAAAAAAGATCGATTTATTTTTTGACCTGCAAATAGTTTAATACTTAGGTACTTAATGTTATACAGTAATAGCAGAAGTATTAAAAATATGTTTTCAAAAAAATTATTTATTTATTAGATACCTAGGTATTTATATTTGTCCTGGTAGTTGGTAGCTACATCTTTATAGTAGTTTCCATCACAATCAAACACTATTATCACCACCGATCAAATAATGAATGAAAAAAATCATATTGGTACCTACTTATCCTTTTTTATTTTTACATTACATAATTTTTATACAACTTAGGTATATTGTATATTTAGTATTTACCTATATTTAAATTAGATAGGTATTACTTTTCTAGTTTTCTATAATATGAGCAATGAGCATAACATAAAGTAAATATTGAACTTTTTGGTTTGGTCAAAAAGGGTTATTAAGATTTTATTAAAATGGGCGATGAAATTAAAATATTAAAATTAATCCAGGTAAAACAAAATTTGATTAAACATAATATTTATTATTATTGTGGATTTTTATTTTATTTTTATATGTAAGTACCTACCACTATTAAACAATTACAAATCACAATATTAGGTTTTTAATTTTATTTATTCATACATGAACTATATAAATGTTTTTTTAATAATAATATATTACATTTTTTGTAAAACATATTCTCCATAATTATTTATAACCAACATAATATTCTGTTATATATTTACATATTTAGTTTAAAACTGATAACTGTTCTAGATCATTCATCTGTAAATATTGTAAACCTGATATTAGTAGGTATTTATATTTTACACGATGAATTTCCTATTGCTATAGGTATTATGACAGCGTTTAGGTAAACAATTATTTAAAGATTACTTTTTTTCTGATATTTATTTTAAAATACCTAATCCAAGTATCACAATATTGTTACAGTTTATTAATTTTTAACACTATCCTCAAACATATTTCCTAACTTTGGATATATACTCAACTATAATTGGAGCTTAGCCCTCCAAATATAGATTAAAGGATAAATATAAGTCATGAAAAATGTTTTCTTCAATGAGGCATAACATTGGGTAAGAAAAAGTAGATATGCAGCATAATAATTTTCAAATTTGGCAAATACTTGGATTTATTATACAATTTAACTATTTGAGAAGTGTTGAAATTTCAAATTTGCAATTTACTTGCTGTATTCAATACATTTTGGTATTACTGTAATTTATAACAAGCTCAATAGGCAGTAGGTACATGTTTATTTATGTAATAATTTAAGATTCTGTATTATATTAGTAATTAAATACTTTCAAGTTTTAATACTAGGCTGGCACTTACTTCGATCTATTTATTATTTTTATTTTTAATCTAATAATATAGTACAATCTGTAAAGTACTATTTTTTACAATAAACATAAGTGATGTTGATTGATAAGAAATATTAGACAAAATAGAATCAAATTTACAACATTTCAGACAGGGACTTATGTGAAGTGGCCATCCATTGATGAAACTTCATAGATCTATTTTAAAATAATAAAATATCAAATTTATAACCTAGGTACTTATTAATCCTGTATAATTATTAAATATGTATTTAATACTATATTAGTGCTTATAAAAATTAAATTATAAAAGTTTAATTTCAAACCCAAAACTTAATAATAGTGACTATTTACACTGTAGATTCTGCAGAGTAGTACTACATAATATGTTAACTGTAAATATTTATGTAGGTAGCTTAAGCCGAATAATAGAAGAGGAAGCACAATATATCTTCTACACATGCTTAAATAAATGATTCCAAACTCATCCTAAACCTCTCATAAAAGATCTTTACAACCTTACATTCCCAGGAAATCATAACCACAAGTTAAAAAGAAAGTGGTGCAGTGACTTTTTGCAAAACTTTAATATCTAAAGCCTCTTAAAATATTTAATAATAAAATAAAAAATGAATCAACTAGCCAAGAGACTACTCACTGTCTCACTAATGGGTCATGGGTGGCTACTTTAATCATACCTTCTATCATTGATATTGATTATAAATACTTATATTTATAATCATTGCTTTTATGTTAATATTATGTTATATACTACTCTTATCATATAAACTTATTGTGCTAATTTGTACAGATTGCTTATGTCAAATAAAAATATATAAAATAAAAGGTAGCTCAAACATAATTTGGCTTGACAAAACATCATTATAATCTATATACATATTATTTAATATTATGTTGCGCACCACATTTATTATTATAAACTAATTATAGTTAAAATAACTTATGAACATTATTAAATAATAATAATTAAACGTTACTAAATTCCAATTTTTTTGATGGATTAGGCACAGATTAAATATGTGTAAATAATTTTCATAATTTAAAGCCTCAAGACATAATGCATTATAACAATTAACAGCTGCTTTAATGTTCAATGCTTTTATTTATATTTTGTATAAAATTAAAAAAAAAAAAACTATTATTTTATTATTATTTATATGACTACTAAATTTTTTAAGCCAATAATAAACATAATATTATAATTCATAAGGTATAATCAAGATGTGTTATAAAACAACACACAAATCATTGAGTACTTTTTTCTTAACAATATTTTTGTATAAAAAATGTAAACATCATAACATAATTGGTACATATTATAGTTTGTAGGCACATTAATTAAACTTATTCTAAACAATATCATTCAACGGTATAATATAAGTATAACTTTTCCTATTGTTCACTGGGGTTAACAATTTCGATACTACGTGGGAGTTTATCACAGAAAGAACATTTTGCATTTGAATCATACTACAATAGCAATACGGCATAACAAAAACAAGAAATGACACATATTGGTAGAACAAGTCAGGTTAACTAATTGTGACGTAACAAGTTGTCGCATTAGCATCACAATCCTCATACTCATTGATATGCATTAGTTCAGCTTTGCTTAGGGTATCTAGTTGTACACATGCACAGCGTATAGACAACTTTCCATTTTCATCCAATGATTGTAATTTACGAGGTACTCCAATCCAATTTCTTTGAATGCCACCACTATAATATAATATATAATATACATAAAAAAAACAACTAACATTGTATTAAAATCTAAAATAATTAGACAATGTCTTTATTCCTATCGACCTTACCTCAATTTAGTACACCAGACTTTACTTTTTTGATTTTCTTGAACATATTCTATATTACAACTTGGATATTTTGCCATTTCTTCATTTTTAGCTACTTTAGCCATTTTACTTGATTTTATTTTTTCAAACACCAATTTACAGTAATCAGTTTCTTTACCAGATGAATCATAATAACGTCCAATTAATTTTCCTTAAACAACATAATGATATAATATACAAATTAAATAAATAGAACATAACTTGGGTAGGATTATTAATATACTTAAGAGGATGTTAGCGTAGCATTTGTTTTCTCTCTCATCCACACGCAACATCCTCTTAATATTGAATTGGTAGGCGATATAAAAATATTAAATGCAAGTACCAATTTCTTTGTATTTTTTCTTATAAGTATTGATCCAAGTATCCAGTCCTATTAAATCATTTGGATCCATATCACTGACATGATCAGTTAGGTTTTCTTCGTCAAATAAGCCAGTTATAAATGAACGACTGGCATCACGACCTAAAAATATATTGTTTCACACAAAAATTAACAAAATAATATATAGAATAAATTATTTAAAGTTATTTTTAATACTGCATTACTGCCTAGTTACATACCGGAAAATCCACTATACGAACCACCAGGTCCATAGAATCTTCTACCCTCTGTCACGTCAAACACATTACCCAGAATGGATAAATATATTTTGCCTCCATCAACACCTTTATACCGACTTAATCGAGTTGTATCGAAAAGAGAACACACTTTTGGTGTGTTAATTAAGAATCGTTCAAAAATCGCAAAGCTACACAGTAAGTTTTGAGCGGGTTCATAAAAAAAGAGCATGGATAATATTAATACTATAATAGTTATACATGAGAAAAAAGTATTTTTTAAATTAAAACCCTCCATATTAACAAATAATTAATATCGTTAGGCGTTTACAATGATTTATTTAAAACAAGATTATAATAACAACTAATAAGTAGGTAACAAGTAATAAGTAATAATTATATTTTGTAAGTAATAATAACCATAACGATTTTAATTTTTAAATATTGAATTTGTCACATAAAACATTGATATTATGACCACGGTAAAAGTGTAGTCCACGCCGCATGAATGGTCATGTAGCCATGATAGTTAATAATATGCTTAAATAATAACTGTGCTTATGACTTAGGACAGGCCGTCATTGACATTTGACTGCAACAAGACGTGCCACCGGCCACTGCTGCCACTTTGTGATAACTGATAAGCATGCAGCCATAGATAATATTATGCAGCAAGTAATATCACAGAACAATAGTAATATAAAGCATAGATAATAAAGATATACAGAGTGTCCCGTGAGGATTTACTCATTGCGATATCTCCTGAAATAATAGAGATATCGTAATTCTGTTTTCTTGTTAAGACTCACAGAGGTAAGCACTACAAATAACTAATTTTTTATTTTTTTTTTATGTTTTGGTAAAAAAGTTAAAAAAATTATTTTTTTAATTAATTATTTAAAAAATATTGAAGATTGCCATTTTGTAGAGTTCATTTTTCTGAAAATATTGACGTTTCAACATTTTAATTTCATTAATTTCCTGATTTTTAATAATTTTTTTAATTAATAAGTAAAACGGCAAAAAACCGGTTTTTGTCCGGGCGGCGAGTCCCCCTCTACGGCTAATAGGTAAATCCTCACGGGACACTCTGTATATAGATAATAACATATGATATAAAGACGCCATCTCCGTGGTAATGATAGTGATTTATCACTCCATATTTATCAGGAGTACAAGTGGCAAAGACTGAGGGGTCGCTATGAGTTCACAGCGCCCTCTGTATATAACACGGACTAAGATACAAATTGTGTAGCCAAATAAAACCACCGGTAGCGCTGAAAGCTTCGAGAACAGTGTTCATATCAGCTAAGTGACACCTTTTCGTGGCCGTCCCCCGATCCCCGCCTACCCTGTCGTTTCTAGTCTTTTATATTATAGTCCCATAGACCTATTAACTAGTTAATAGGTCTATGTATAGTCCGTGGTTTACAGTTATAAACATAGATATAATATTATAATACCTATTCAAATTTGAATTCTTTAAAATCAAATTTATTTAATTGTAGCTCTCCCGGGAAAGGATTTTTCTTGTGATACAGCGCGGCCAACCACGAGAGAGACCAATGCGATGTACATTTTACTGTTATAAAATAAACGATGTGTGGTTGGGTGGAAGCAATGCCAAAGTAATTACCCCGTGTTCCACGGTTAAAAGTTGAAACGCAATAAGAGATATATTATAAGCTCTGTTTATGAACTTAAATGTAATTAAACCACAGACTCATAGAAATCTGTGATGTAAACAAAAACTGGCTGATAATCTGTAATCTGTGATATAACTATATACCTAAGTATAATATTACATACTATATTATTGTATATCAGACAGTGTATAGGTATATGTCTATTCTAATACCTAATAATCATATGGTTCTATACCTATCTACAACCATTGTTCTATGCTACAACCGTGCTTATAACAAACATTTTAAAATTATTTATTGAACTATTGAATGATTGAAAGTTTTTTTTTTTAAATATTTGCAATAATTTATATACCTACTTATAACAAAATATATTCATGTTAATATTTAGCTCTGTAGTATTTGTATATTAACTTCATTCTACATTTACCTATTCAACTTATCCATATAGGTAAGTATACATACCATTCTACATAATATTATCCTAATCCTATAGAGCTATACCTAGCCTATAGCCTAAGTCCTAAATGATACATTTTAATAAATTGCAATCAAATTTGAACATTTAGTTATAATAAATTAGAATTCAGAACTAAGTGTTGGCGTTGTAATGTTTTTATCATTTAAACCAATCTATTTGGTGAAAAGTTCAAAGTTCAGGCCTAGCCTTAAGGTACCTACGTATTAAGAAGAAAAAAATTGTTAAATTATTTTTGTACTGTTAAAATTAATGCTGTTGTCAAAACAAGGAGGAGCTTGGTGTTGATTTCACATTAAAGAATAGTTAATATATAATTACCGCTCATTGCCAGTTGCATGCAATTTGATTTTTTTTTATCGATGTTTTAAAAAGGTACCTACTGTTGCCCCTTGGGCTTGTTACGATGAGAATAAATGATGATGGAACCTAGGTTGTGATGATGTTATCTCGACATGAACAACTTAATGTGCACTGCCTTGGATTTGACTGGATAGGCAACTTAATGCGCACTGCCTTAAAATGACCGGGTAGGCAACCAGATACGACGACGACGAAGATAGGAGGGGACCAAAAGAGACTTAAAATTACCGGACCAAGGAAGTTAAGTTTATGCACGGGAACAAGGAAGATGAGTTTAGTTATTTGGGGGGATGTCTTGGTGGTCGGAATCGGTGTGGTGCAATGACCACCAAGCTCACAGAAATCGGCGAATACTTAAAATCTACCCTTAACTCTACGATGATGATGATGTGGATGAAGGCTGCAACAAATGACAAACGACGGCGAATGGACTCGAAGACCTTGGCGGCCTCTCACACACCACGGCGGGTGCTGGCGGTCTTACGCATTGACTGATGGCACCAATCCCGATCTCGGGCGATTGAAAAGCACCGTCAAATGATGTCTCAATGACGAGCTGATGAGACGAGTAGGTACACCGTGTACCTACTACCGTAGTGATACTCAACCAGAAATACAAACAACTCACTTAAATGCTGGTAATGATGGTGCTTTATTAGAATAATAAAGTAATCAAACGGCTTCGTGTCGCACTGACTCGGCCGGTACAAAATTTTAATATGTGTCGCAATGACAGCACAGGTAATTTATTTAACGGATTACGTATTGCCGCAGTGGCAACGAAAACAAACAATTCTGCGTTGCTTCAATAGCAGAAAAAAAATAAAACAAAAATGTGTAAATTCACGAACCAACAAACAATAATTTCTTACACTTAATATATGTACGACGATGTGTATATGTAAAAAAAACTTAACGGTAAAAAATTAATAACAACCATAAAGGCGTTGGCCGCGTAATCACAACAAAAACATTAAAACAGATGATATAAAAACAAAGACAATATGACAACAACGATAACAATAATAATAAATTAATTTATATAAGTGATTATAATTCACATACCTAACGAATAATGATTAAATGAGGACGAGGAAGAGGGAGAGAGATAAAGACTGGTCGCCGCCGTTGCGCTGTTTTGCATATCGCATGATAATCACAACACTGTGTCGCGGCAACATACCGGCCCCCATTAAACCCTTCACGGGTTTAATTGAACTTCTCGTTGACCGGGTAATAGGCAAAGTTTGTGGATTGGTCGTTTCATTTCTGTGGTTGCTGTTTTTACTGTAGCGACACGCACGAGACCATCACTTCCCGTGTGTAGAAGAAGTATTCTACCACGACTCCATGCGAGTGGTGTTTCATAGTCTTCTCGAATCAGCACTAAATCACCAACTTGGAGATTCTCTTCAGTTTGAGTCCATTTGTGGCGTACTTGTAATGACTGAAGGTACTCCGTCCGCCATCTTTTCCAAAATCCTTGAACCAGTTGTTGTACCATGTGCCAACGAAGGCGTGGAGCTTTTATATCGAGGTAATTGGGCTCCGGCAATGCGGTTAAAGGTTTTCCTATAATAAAGTGACCCGGGGTTAGTGCTTCCATGTCACTAGGGTGTGTTGATACGGGAGTTAGAGGCCTTGAGTTTAATACTGCTTCGATTTGTGCTAGCAAAGTTTTGGCCTCCTGGTGATTTAATATCGACTCTCCTAAACTTCTTCGTAAATGATACTTCATTGATTTTACTCCTGCTTCCCATAGTCCACCCATATGTGGGGAGTGTGGCGGAATGAATGACCACTCAATTCCAGCTTGAGTTGTGTATGCGTTAATATTTTGTTTGAATTCCCTGGATCCGAGAAAGTTCTTAAGTTGTGCCGCTGCTCCAACGAAATTTCGACCATTATCAGAATGTATTTGTAATGGACACCCACGTCTAGCGATGAACATCCGTAACGCAGCGAGAAATGATTCAGTAGTTAAATCATCTACCCATTCTAAATGTATGGCTTTTGTTGTAAAGCATACAAATAAGGCGACATATGATTTGTATATATGTTTTGATCTACGTGAACCGAAACGCACTTGAAAAGGCCCAGCATAATCGACTCCACATACATGAAATATTGATGATGGATTAGCTCGACTAACCGGAAGGGAGCCCATTAGCTGTTTGGAAGCTTGTACTTTCCATCTATAGCATGGGTTACATTTAAAAATTATCTTTTGAATAACACTGCGTAAGCCCGGAATCCAGAACACTCTTTGCAAACTAGCTACTATTTGCTGTGGTCCGGCATGAATTAATCGTCGATGTTCCTTGTCCGCAATTAATTCGACCAAATATGTTGTCGAAGGCAGAATAATGGGATGACGTGCTTCATATGACTCGTTTGAGTTTTGTAGCCGGCCTCCAACCCTTAATACATCATTGTCGTCGATGAATGGAACTAACGATTGTAATTTGCTGTCATTCAAACTGTTTCCAGCCTTTAACTGGGAAATTTCCGATGAAAACGCTTGAGCTTGAGTGATTTTTACCCAGTACATCAACCCTCGTTTTAATTCTTCAGCTTTCAAATCTCCAGTCAGGCGGTATTTCCTTTGAGTAACTGCTCGGAATAGATAAGCTGTTACCCGTTGCAACCGTTCTAGTTTCGAGAATCTATTAACGATATCTTGAAACTCCATTTGACTTTCGGTGTGGACGTGTAATACCTTAACCGTCTTACGCTGTTCTACCGGTTCCTCTTCGTTATTCAATAACTTTTGTTTTGGCCATTCGGTTTCTGGTTGTATCATCCATGAGGGTCCACTCCACCACTGAGTACAGTTAATGATTTCTGCGACGCTTAAGCCACGGGAAATGAAATCCGCCGGATTATCCGTCCCGTCAATATGCCACCAATCTTGTTTGTTTGTTAGTTCCCGGATTTCTTCAATACGATTTGCTACGAATATTTTCCAAATGTCTGTAGCACCTTCATTTCGAATCCAGCTTAATACAATAGATGAGTCTGACCACATTCGAATCCGATCAATTTTAAGAATATCGTTTAACGATTGGACCACCACCATCATCAACTTGCTACCCAACAGTGCTGCACATAATTCTAGACGAGGCATTGTCACTGTCTTTAAAGGGCAGACCCGAGATTTAGCAGTTAATAACTGCGAGTGGATTTCACCCGAATGGCTAACTGTGCGAATGTATGCACATGCTCCATAAGCGACTTGTGACGCATCGCAAAATATATGAAGTTCATGTAGCTGAATGTCACTACTCCGTATAACCCTTCTTGATATGCTTACTTTAGTGATATCCAAGAGTTCCTGTCTATATCGTTCCCAGGCTGTATGGTATTCACTCGGAAGGGATTCATCCCACGATAGCTTTAATTTCCACAGTTGTTGAATAAATATTTTCGCCTTTACAATTACTGGTCCAACAAGCCCGAGTGGATCAAATAAACGGGATATTTCAGAAACTATAGTTCGCTTTGTCATCCGTGTTAATGGTGTCATTACTTGGACCTTGTAATGCAGCTGGTCCGCTTTAGGTTTCCATCGTATTCCAAGGGTTTTAGTTGAATGGTCATCTTGAAAACTAAGATCAGAAGTAGTGGCGCGCAGATCGTCGGGGATTCTGTTTAACAACTCTTCACGATTGGAACACCATTTTCGAAGAGAGAATCCTCCCCTTTCGCACAATTGTAGCATGTCATCTTGAAGTTTGGCTGCTTCCACCAGGTCTGTGGCGCCGGTCAGAAGATCATCTACATAGAAGTCACGCTTGGTAATACGTGCTGCACTAGCAAGGTCATTCTTTTCACAGTCTGCTAAGAGATATAATGTTCTGATAGCCATAAAAGGTGCGGATGATGTTCCATAAGTAACCGTATTTAATCGATATGATTCCAACGGATCGTTTGGGTTTTCCCGCCAAAGAATTTGTTGGTATGACTGACAGTTTTCACTAACATTGATTTGCCTGTACATTTTTTCAATATCAGCTGTAAGAACTACCTGGTGTATTCGGAATCTCATTAAAATTCTACGGAGGTCATCTTGAATAGTTGGGCCAACCATTAAGGTTTCATTGAGTGATATGTTGGTGGAAGTTTTTGCAGAAGCGTCAAAAACCACTCGAATCTTTGTGGTAGAGCTCTCATTTCGGATGATTGGGTGATGTGGTAAAAATACTTGTGGATGTTCCGTCGAATGAGTATTCGTCTTAGTCGACAGGGTCATGTGACCAAGATTTTGATACTCACGCATAAACCTGACGTATTCCAGCTTAAGCTCTGGATTTTCATTTAATTTACGTTCCATCTGATGAAATCTTTTCGTTGCCATGAAACGCGATTCACCCAATAATTGCTGTATGTTGTTACGAAATGGTAGCTTTAACGTAAATCTACCATCGGCGTCTCTTGAAGACGTCTTCAAAAAATGGGTTTCACATTTGCATTCTTCAATACTATATTTTCTTCGTTCCTTTGGTTCGACGACTTCTTCGAGCTCCCAAAACTTCTGTACTTCGTTTTGAATTGAATTGTCGATACTCACCATTGTTGTCATGCAAGACGTGTGAGGATTAATGTGGTCACTCTGTACCCGTCCTGATAGAACCCAACCGAATACAGTTTTTTGCCAAATTGCGCGAGTGCCTGCTGGTTTTATTTGACCGATGCATAACAGCTCATAGAATATTTCGGAGCCAAGTATTATATCAATTTTTTTTGTAGAACGGAAGTCTGGGTCAGCACATTCGCCTAGATTAATTGTGTTCATGACTTCGTTGGTTGGTTGTACTGACTGCAAGGTATTTGCGATATTCTGTAATACCAAGAATCTTAAATCTGTTGAATATGCGTTAATTCTCGATTTCACAGTAGCGCTAACTTGTCCAACTGCTTTACATGACATACCTGATACTCCAATTACCGTTGTAGCTGTTTCAGTTATTGGATAACCTAGTTTTATTGCCAGTCTGGTAGTCATAAGGTTGACTTGGGAACCAGAATCCAATAAAACTCTTGCCATAATTCCTTTACCACGCACATCGGAAATTATAACTAAAGCCGTTGATAACATTGTTACTTCACCGACGGTTTTTCTCTTTTCCATTATTTGTGCCTTTAATGCTACTTGGCTCTCTTCGCTATCCACTATGCTTTCCTGAGTATCAGAACTATTTCCAGTTTCTTCATCAATTAACGCACTGTTCGCAAATGCTTCGGCTCTTTCATCGTCTTCCAGATGTAGTTTGCTATTGTGTCGTTGGTTGCATTTTGAACAACCTGCACTACGACAAGACGATGCTCGGTGACCACCTCGTAAACAGTTAACGCAAACGTTTATTGTTCTAGCAAATTTCACTCTCTCTGGCGTTCTCAAAGCTAAAAATTTTGGACATTGATAAAGGGCATGTACTAATTTGCACATGGGACATTTTGACTGTGACATGATGGACGGTTGGTGAACCGTGGTAAATGACCGTCGAACTGGTATTGATGGGTCTTGCCACATGTTTCTTCCCTGTGCTTTAGAGACTTCAATTGCTGCGAGCGTTTGACATCGATGATTTAGAAACGTAGTGAACTCGTTCCATGTTGGTACACTTGTATCTTTTCGTGAAGTTTCCCATTCCATGAGAGATTTATCATCGAGTTTGGAAGATGCTATGTGTACTAATAGCGTACTCCATTCATCCACTGGTTCTCCGATAGCTTTTAAAGCTCCCAGGTGTCGACTAAAGATGTCGAAGAAACTTCTCGTTGCAGAGGCAGACTCATTTTTTAACTTATTTACTGCAAATAATTTTGATACATGAGTCTGTACTATAAGACGCTTATTTTCAAATCGTTCTTGAACTAAGTTCCATGCAACTAAATAATTCCCCTCCGTTACCTCCAAACTTTCGATTAGCTGCGCCGCCAGCCCTTTCAAAGATAATCGGAGATATTGAAATTTTTCTACTGCAGGTATTCGAGCGTTGTGAATCATGACACTGAAAGTATCTCGATAACACTGCCAGTTTTCATATTCTCCGTCAAATTCAGGAAGGTTGATTCTCGGCAACTTCATGTGAGCTTCAACACCCGGTCGATGATTTCGACTAAATGATTGATCAGACGATTGGAGTTCTTGTGATGATAACTCATTCACGGCCGCCGCTTGTATGGAAAAAAATTCATTTTCAAATTTGATGCGTTCTTCTTGCTGCGAGTCAGATTCATCCAAACCTTCGATTTCAGTTTGGATAAGGTCGAATTCATCAAACAATGATTCCAGTTTGTCTAGCCGTAATTTCAACTCAGTGTAGTTGCGCCTTGCATTCCTTTGGAATGTGTCGAAGAATGATCCGAATCGAGTTAGTTTACCCTTTGCTACCCCGCGTTTCCTAATACATTCAGTCAACTCTGGAGGCGCCATAGTAGTTTTGACTATACGGTATAACCGATGATAGATTGTTGAAATTAGATAAGATTAGAAAAGATTGATTTGTAAACCACGCTCTGCTACCAATGTTGCCCCTTGGGCTTGTTACGATGAGAATAAATGATGATGGAACCTAGGTTGTGATGATGTTATCTCGACATGAACAACTTAATGTGCACTGCCTTGGATTTGACTGGATAGGCAACTTAATGCGCACTGCCTTAAAATGACCGGGTAGGCAACCAGATACGACGACGACGAAGATAGGAGGGGACCAAAAGAGACTTAAAATTACCGGACCAAGGAAGTTAAGTTTATGCACGGGAACAAGGAAGATGAGTTTAGTTATTTGGGGGGATGTCTTGGTGGTCGGAATCGGTGTGGTGCAATGACCACCAAGCTCACAGAAATCGGCGAATACTTAAAATCTACCCTTAACTCTACGATGATGATGATGTGGATGAAGGCTGCAACAAATGACAAACGACGGCGAATGGACTCGAAGACCTTGGCGGCCTCTCACACACCACGGCGGGTGCTGGCGGTCTTACGCATTGACTGATGGCACCAATCCCGATCTCGGGCGATTGAAAAGCACCGTCAAATGATGTCTCAATGACGAGCTGATGAGACGAGTAGGTACACCGTGTACCTACTACCGTAGTGATACTCAACCAGAAATACAAACAACTCACTTAAATGCTGGTAATGATGGTGCTTTATTAGAATAATAAAGTAATCAAACGGCTTCGTGTCGCACTGACTCGGCCGGTACAAAATTTTAATATGTGTCGCAATGACAGCACAGGTAATTTATTTAACGGATTACGTATTGCCGCAGTGGCAACGAAAACAAACAATTCTGCGTTGCTTCAATAGCAGAAAAAAAATAAAACAAAAATGTGTAAATTCACGAACCAACAAACAATAATTTCTTACACTTAATATATGTACGACGATGTGTATATGTAAAAAAAACTTAACGGTAAAAAATTAATAACAACCATAAAGGCGTTGGCCGCGTAATCACAACAAAAACATTAAAACAGATGATATAAAAACAAAGACAATATGACAACAACGATAACAATAATAATAAATTAATTTATATAAGTGATTATAATTCACATACCTAACGAATAATGATTAAATGAGGACGAGGAAGAGGGAGAGAGATAAAGACTGGTCGCCGCCGTTGCGCTGTTTTGCATATCGCATGATAATCACAACACTGTGTCGCGGCAACACCTACCTAACGACTAACGTAACTTCTTTCGATATTTCCATCTCTACCACTAACTTCAAAGATAATATTTATTATCTATAAGTTATAACTAAATTATACCACAGAACTATTGTTAGTCTTTCAAGTTTCACATTGTTGTAAAAATTGGCTACTAGATTGAGCCAGTGGATTATTTTTTGAATGATCCCGTACAATAGGCTGGGAGTGTATCAGTTTCATATTTTTCTATAACATTATGCTCATGATTTAAAGGGCTATAATATAGAATAAATTGATTATATATGATAACTATTGATTTAATATATTTACAATGACGATTGAAGAGTTTTAAAATTCATATTTTGTCAATTTTAGAAAAAAGTACATAGGTATACCACTACATAGGTATACCACTTAATATTGATGTTTTATTTTATGACCTACGTATTTTAGTATACCTACTTTACCAATACCTATTAAAAATATATTTTTATTTAGGGATATTGAACACGCCGACCCTTTCCTAGTCAAGCTATTGATTGTAACGAACCTATGAAATTTCGGGGTAATGTCGTAATGGGATTCTTGAGATTTGCAGGGGACCCAGAACACCCAAAAGGTTAAAACTTACTACTCATCATATATTTTTGTTATTCATTTATATAATATGTCAATATTCAATAGGCACCTATACGATCCGTTGAACGGCGTGAATAGGTTTGTAAAAGACTAAATGTTCAAAGTTAATCTAAATAGTAAATAATATTTTGATTTCACTGTGTTTCTACAAATATAATATACCTACGTAAAAGTTAAGTTTTTTTAAATTACGATAAAATAATTAATTTTTTTAAATTTCGTTTGAATAGCTAATGTTGTCAACATTTTAAAATTAATTAAATGTCTAAAAAAAGAAATTGGGACTATATGTGTAATTTGATATTTTTAGAATGATGTAAGACAGCAATTAAAGTAGTACCTAATACAAAATTGTCACTTTTTTATAGAGAAAAAAGTATGTTATTAGCACTTAGGCATACAAAAAATAATATTAAACAAATTCTAAAATTCCAAGTATAAATAATTTAAAATTGTTAGTGTAAATATTTTAAAATTTCATATCGAGTAAATAGTAAATGATAATCTAAGTATTAGTAGAATATTCCAAGTTTTTACGATTAATATACTTTTTAAAATACATCATAATAACGAAAATCGTTTGAGATTAAATCCTTATTTTACGTTTGAATATAAAATTTCATCAACGTTTTAAAGCTTAAAAAAAAATAATGTGGTTACATGGTACCTAATTTTTATTTTAAAATTCTCATAAGTACATTGAGCAACTAATGCAACTAATGCAACATTGTCACATTGAACAACTAAAACAACCTTGTCCTTGTGTTAATTTTTCACTCTTTTTTAGGTAGAAAATACATTTTTATTATTTTAAGAGAAAAATTAAAAAAATTAAATATTTCATATTATTTTATAAATAGCTAAAAATTGCTAAAAATACAAAAATAAATTTTGAAAGTTCTGTCAAGCCTAAAAAATATTATTATGATTAATAATATTTTGTAAAAATATCTACCATTTTTACGGTTATAAAATAATAATATCAAATTTTTTTTGAAAACTGTTATTGCATAAAGTAAATATTTCCGTTTATCCGTAATTATTTTTAGTTTTTAAGGGGTCAAAATTAAAAAAAAGTGCTCTGCTGTACAGTTGGTTACAAGTGGGTCACTGTATAATGGATGGTATTAAATTTGAATTCAATGATATAATATCATTGTATAAGAAAAACTGTTCTGAGCAGAGACAGTATGTCAGTCTAGGTATAAGACATAAAATTATATACTTATCTATGGTATTAAAAAAAAATTGACCTATAATAGGTACCTATAAGAAATTCCAAATTAACCATATCACAATATCCATTAGGTTATACATATCAATAACAAACTGTGATACCATCATAGATATTATATAGTAGTATACTTTAGAAGTTTCAAGTACCCATGAGTAATATTATACAATCACAACAAAATAACTAAAATAGTTATTCTAAGTTTTTTAATATGTAATTTCGTCCAAATTTGAACTTAAAATGACTATACAAATAAACTGTGCTGATGTATTTTTAGATTTTTTGGTAACAGAATTAACTACATACGTGGAATTTAGTTATAAAAGTTGAACATTTTATAAATTTTTAACTAAAAATTATTCAATTTTAAATTTGATACATTTTGTCAAAATTTGATCTTTAAATACTTATAAAAAAAAATTGTGCCTATGTAATTTTAATATTTTCAACTGCTATTGTAACAATATATCAGGAGCCTTGTATTACATTTTTACACTTTTTGGCCCAACCGATAAAACTTTATTGATATTCATAGAAAAAAAAAAAAAAAGAAAAATTGACAGTGCCCGTAAACAGCTCAAAAAGCGTCAAAATATTTTGAAAATTTTATCAAGTATAAGAATTGATAAAATAAACATTCAGTGAAATTTGAATGTATCTAGTCATTCGTTTTTGAATTATATCAAAACAAGAAAATCGTTACATGAGAAATCGAGTGAATAACAAATTTTGTAAAAATATGAATTTAAAATGCTCATAAAAATTTAATTTCACTTTCCGGTAGACATTTTTTTTTTGATAAAGGTAGTAAAACTTATGAAAAATCTTGTATTACATTTTCAAATCTTAGATTTAAAAAGAAAAATTTTTACGAATTTTTAACTCAAAATAATTTGCTAATTTTCGTGATTTTTCCATATTTTGTCAATTTGTGAACTTTAAATGCTTATAAAAAAAAACAGATTTTTAATATTTTTCAAACGTCATTGTAACAACATAATAGGAGCTTTGTATTAAATTTTCAACCTTTTTTACCTAACAAATAAAGCTTTATTGACATTCATAGCAAAAAAACCTAAAAAAGTTCGAAACTGAAAATGTCCCTAAACAGTTCAAAACAAATCAAAATATTTTGAAAATTTTATCGTGTATAGAAAATGCAAATTTAAACAACCAGTTAAAATTTCATGTTTGTATCTACGGTCATTAGTTTGAAAGTTACACTTAAAACCAAAGTCGATTTTGTGGAAAACCGATTTTGCGTAAAAATTCCCGTTTTTCCTTAATTTTTATGTTGTTTTTCCCGTCGCTTTTGAAAACTATTGAGAATTTGAAAATTTGACCTTCTGAATGCACCAATTAGATTCTCTTTCCCATCGAACAAGACACTGTGGAAGAAAATCGAAGCAGTTTTACTGCCCTAAATCATGATGACAGACACAAAAAAAAAAAATTAAAAAAAAAACACATATCATTATAAAATCAATACATTCATCATTATTCCACTCAGAATCTAAAAAAAAAAACAATACATCATTGTAAAATCAATACATTTATCGTTTCACTCAGAATCTAAAATGCTCTATGCCCCCATATTATTAAAACTAATCCGGAATACAAAATAAAATTAAGAAAAAACTACAAATTTTATGTAAAATCAATTTTGTTCTGTAACTCAAGTTATAATGTTATACACTTAGGTATACAGTGTATACTTTTACTATGCTCACGTTTATAAACAATGTTTGTTTAGTAAAAAACTTTGTAAATTAAAATAAAATACAAGGTTCCTTATGAGTTTTTGTTATAGCTATTTAAAAATATTTAAGATACCTACATATAGGCACGATTTTTTTTATAAGCGTTTGAATTTTGAAGTTCAAATTTAATCAAAGT